AGTGTGTGTGTAGTAGAGTGTGTATGTGTGTGGAGTGTGTGTGTAGTAGAGTGTGTGTGTAGTGGAGTGTGTGTGTAGTAGAGTGTGTGTAGTGGAGTGTGTGTGCGGTGGAGAGCGTGTGGTGGAGTGTGTATGTGTGTGGTTAATTGCATGTGTGTATTGGCATGTGCACGCACATATGCAGAGTTAAGGTTTTGGGGGACATGAGTTTGTGTGTGTGTGTGAGTGTGTGTTCATGTGTGGAGCTTCCGTGTGGAATGCATGTGATATGTGTGGGTTTAGAGTGTGTTAATGTACGTTTATGGAGGCATGTGAAATTGTATACAGCCATGGGAGGACCTTTGTGCGTGTGTGTGTGAGTCGTGTGTGTTTGCGTGTGGAGCTGGTGTGGGTAAGGGTGTGTGATGAGCTTGTGGTATGAGGTCTTTGTGGATATGCACTGGGGCATGCATACACATGTTATGTACGCAGAGAGCCTGAGTGTGTGCTAGTGTGTGAGTACAGGCTGGGGTGTGCATGTCTATGCGGTGTATTGCAATGTGGGGTTTTGTTGCTATAGTGGGCTGCATGCATGTGTGTGCCATATTGGAGTGTGCACAGGTGTGCACACACAGAAGAGTAATCATTGTTGGGGGGATGGCTGTGTGCCTGTGTCGGGGGGTGTGTGTAGAGGAGATATGACTTCATGGGGATGAGCTGTGTGCACGTACAGGTGAGGTGTCCGCTGTGCAAATGTGCACACACGTGGGAGAGATATGGTTGTGAGGGAGTGGGCTCAAGGCATGTGTGTGGTGGGGTGTGTGCACCCATGGTGGAGTCATGATGGGAGTGTGTGTGTGCATGAGTGTGTTCACGCACTGAAGGGCTACGGCGTGGGGAATGGGCTGAGTGCACGTGTGTGGCGTGCGGGAGAGTTACGACTGTGGGGAAACGGTGTGTGTGCCCTCGTGTGGTGCTGGGAGACACGAGTTTGTGTGTGTGGCGGGCCGTGTGCGTGTCTGGGGTGTTGGGGTGTGCACTGTGCACACACGGCAGCTATGGCTGTGCGGCAACGGGCTGAGTGCACGAGTCGGGTGCGTTGGGACGCACACGTGCATGTGGGAGCTGGGTGCATGAAGTGGTGGGTGTGCACGCACGTGTGCGTGGGTGTGTGTGCACGTGTGTGTGCGTGTGCGCGCTCAAGAAAGAGTGCTTGCTCTGTCTCATGGCAGACGGAGGGCTCCCCCCAAGCTGGCCCCAGGCGCCTGTTGGCGGTGTGGATGTCCAGACCCCAGCCCGGGGCCTCCCTGCATAGGCTCCATGTCTGCACTGCACCCTACTGTATAGGACTCTCCGTCTCGATCCAGTTTTTGTGATTTATATTGTCCATAATTCTGTTTTGTCAGGAGTTTCAGATTTATGAGCCCGGCCTCACGCTGTGTCCCTCAGAGAGTAGAAAGGACGCTTGTACTGGCTGTTTGCTTTCTTGCTGGGAAGTGTGTGCGCCCACACTCCTCCGGTCTCAGCCGGGCAGGGCTGGTTTTTGTGGGGCCGCAGGAAGGGCCTGTCGGGGTAGGTCTGCCCCTGTCTGCACGTCCCAGGGTGTTTGGAAAGTTCAGAACATCACCTCACACCCCCTACTGCACGTAGGGACCCCTGGCTGCCCCCCTTGGTGAAGTCCTTTGGAGCCCCTGCCAGAGGGGGCTGAGTGTGCCCACGTGGGCTGGAGGTCACTGGCCAAGTCCTATGAACAGTGGGGTGCTGTCCCGTGGTGCCCTGAGCTGAGCCTCCATAGAAAAGCCCACCTCCCTGCTGGCCCCTTCCACATGGAGCTGCCAAGGTTCTCTGCCCACCCCCCTCCCTTTGCTCTGCTCCAGCACAGTACGCATCTGGTGGACGGGGGTCAGCTCACTTTATTCCCAGACCCCGGGGTGGGGGGCACTGAGGACAGAGGCACGAGGGGGTTGTGGGCCCCAGTGGGTGGGTGGTGGTACACCATCTTGAATCCCTGGATGAAGCCTTGGTGCCGGGGCATGGGGGCACCGGGGGTGGGGGGTCTCTCCCTCGGGGTCCGCCTCAGTCCTGTCTCCTTACTTCCAGCGCCCACCGACTTTCCCTTTGGCTGTGGCGCCAGCCTTCTTGCTGCTGTAGGTGGAAGGTAAGATAGTGGTCAGTGTGCTGGGGCCCAGGCCGAGCCCCGTCCAGCCCCCAGCCCCTTGTCCCTGGCCTCTTGCTCCTGTCCGTGCTGCGACGGTGCCGAGCTGGTCCACCCTCCCAGCATGCACCTCGCCCAGCGTAAGGTGCTGACTCACCTGTACCTGTGCTATACCTGGGCCTGGTGCTTTAGTGCCGGGGTCAGTGTGGTTAGGAGGGGCAGAGCTGGTCACAAGCCTGAGGAGTTCTCCCCAAGCCTCCCTCTCCCGCCCGAGGGCTCTGGGGGTCGTGGCTGTGGTCACCCTTGCCCCAGGGACATGGCATCTGTGATGCAGACTCAGCCTCCCCACGTGGCTGACTGGGAAGATCTGGTCACCCAGTGAGGACAGTCTCAGAGAGCAGGGAGGGCCTCTCACTACCCTCCATCCAGCCTGGGTCTCGCCTGGGGACCAACGGCCAGCCCAGCGCAGAGGGGCTGCGCCCTGAGGGTTGGGTGTTCCCGGCTGGAGAGGTTTTATTCTAGGACCCCGCCCTGTTTGAGGCCCTTTGCATGTCACACTCCACAAGGGAGCTGACTGGGGACTGGGGCCAAAGCAGACAAGGTCAGAGGCCTGGCCGGCCAAAGCTCTGGGTTTAGGGCACTGGGGCTGTGGGACAGCATCTGGGCCAGGCTGGCGAGGAAAAGGCCTGTCCCAGACTGTACTCCTGGCGCTGGCCCTCTGTGGTGGAGGGAGGGTGGGAGGGCTGCGCATTGTAGCCTCATGTGTGCACTACACACACACACACACACAAACACACACATGCATGCCCCTCGCGACACAACCTGGCCCTGATCTCACAGCACAGACCAGGCCAGAGACCTGGGACCAGTGGGGAAGAGTAAGGCTAATGGGGGGAGGACAGAAACCCCAGGAATACTGCACCCCCATTGGTCTCACTGAGCCTGGGGTGTGTGTGAGCGTGAAATAGCCTGAAAAGCAAATTTGGTAATACTCCCTGAGTAGGGGCAAGCCCCCAAGCCTCCGTGGTCAAGCTGGGGCCCCTGGAGCCCTTCTCGGGAGTGTGGCTCTTGGCCCCTGCCTTCATGTTAGGAAAGGTGGAGGGTCAGTGAAGGAGAGGAAGACCCTCAATCAGATGGACAGACTAACTGATGCCAGTGTGCCCACGTGGTGAGGCCAGCGCGGGAGGGCGCGGCTCAGATCTGCTGCTCACGGGGTTGTTGTACATCGTATTTGACTCAGTGGCACCGAAGAACAGCGGCCTCTCCCTCCTCACCTACTTGGGGCTTGTTAGGGGAGAGGCCTGAAGGACATCACGCAAGGAGAGCAGAGGGCCCGTGACCGAAGGGGACAGAGGCTCAGCGGGCTGCTGCGGGGTCGGGAGGGCTGCCTGCACAGGTGGGCGGAGCTTCCCTGTGGGGTGGGGGGCTGTGACCATTGGGGCTTGAGTGACTCAACACTACCCACAACAACAACGTCCCCCAAGTGCTGGACTTCTTCCCTGATCACCCTGTGCAGAGGAATACTGGTGGGGTCCCAGGAGCCCTGGCCCTGACTGATGTGTGTGTGAGCAGGGCCTGGTCAGGGCAGGGAGCTGGCCACACAGCTGGGGGAGAAGCGGCCTGTCGTTAGTGGGTTATGCTCTGGGCAGGCGGCCTCCCCCGCACCGGCGGGTGCGGGAGTGGCTGGGGACACGAGCCCCTGGGCCTGGGGCCCGCCGCCGGCTACTCACTGCTTCTGGGCCTGGTCGATGCGGCTCCTGAGGGTGGTGATCTGGAAACAACACGGAGGACTTACTGTGGGCCGTGCAGGCGGAACACGGATGGACGGCGGTGTTCCCGTTGAGGCCGCAGGGAGGGCTGCTCCTGGCAGGCGTTGTGCCCAGCCGGTGCCCTGAGCCCCCAGCACTCACTGGCTCCCTTGCTGTCTCCTGGTGCCTTTTGGTTAGGGATCCTTGACCCCAGGCGTCAGGCCAAGTTCCTTCCTACCACTCACAGTGGCTGGAGGCCTGGCCAGTGCACTCGGCAGCTCTGAGCGGCCACTTACCTGCAACCGTGGCAGGACGCGGGCCGGGGGCACGGAGTGGGGTGGCCACAGGGAGGTGGGGCTTGGCCAGTCCCTCTGCCTCCACCTGGGCTGCCTCCTGCAGCCACTGAACCCCAAGGGCCTGGCCAGGGGTCCCAGCACAGAGCCATGTGTCTCCCCATCTCTGCCAGCCCCACTGCCCCTCCTCCAGACAGCTCCTTGGAGCTGGGGGAAGGAAGGCAGGAGGGAGTGGCAGGACCTGTGCCCATTCGGTGCCCTCGGCCTCGGTGTCCAGCGTGACCTGAACGTGCCATGCTCGAGCTCCCGTGCAGCACACAAGGTGCTCGGGTACTTACAACTTGGACAGCATCTCCACTCTAGCCCGCACATTCATGACCTGAAAGACCGGGCGGATATGGGGCTGTGTGGTGCGCCCGGGCTATGGCCTCAGGGTCCCCCAGCCCCCATGAGCCCTGGGCTGGTCCTTGTGACCGTGAGGCGGGCAGGCTGGGCTGTCTGGCTTGTCTCTGCGCCCCGCCCGGTGCATGCAGGAAGCCAGTGGCCGCAGGACCCCTGTCCCTGGACAGACCCAGGGCGGCTGGGGGAGAACCCCGCCCTCTCAGCTCACGGGCTGGACTGCACTGCGTATAAGCTGTGTCTTCCTCAGAGCCAGCCCAGGTGGCCATCTGAGCACCTCTTTCTGATGGAGGGGAAACTGAGGCAAAGAGAGGCCAGATGCTCTTCCCAAGGACACAAAGGGAGCCCCGAGTCTGTCACCTCACATCACACTGTCTCAATCGCTCCATTTAAGGGATCAAGGAGAACACCCTGAAACTTGAACCCTCCCCCTCCAAACCCTCTGCCGGGAAGTGGCAGGAGTCACCTGGAGCTTTTCACCAGGTCGGAGGGCAGGAAGTAGCCACCCACACCACCACCCCACTTCTCAGACTCCGAGGCCAGCTCCCCTCTAAGCTGTGTCTGCACCCAAGATGGGGCCAACCCCAGCTGCCTGCTATCTGGAGGGGGTGTGGACGACTTCCTACTTGATGGCTGCACCCCATTCAGCTCTCTGGGGTGGGAGTGGGTTACGAGTATGGGGGGTGTGTCAGGAAGAAGGGACCCCACTGGATACAGGAACACTTATTGTTTGGGCCAATGTCATCCGGGGCCTGGGTTTGCAGGGACAATGGGGGACATTTCAGTGGAGGTGGACTCAGAGTTCCCTCAAGAACAGCTCAATGGTACAGAGGCTCTCTGTCTGCCAGAGGGAAATTGGAGAGGGCCCTGTGGCCCCTCGGTTGTGGTCACTCTCGGAGGCTGGTCCTCCACCATCAACGCAGCCCGGCACAGGGACCAGGCTCTGTGTGCGAGGGGCCCTAGGGACTCTTCTTAAGGGCATGTCCAGCCTCAGCTCCAGGGCCAAAGGGCACAGTGTGGACTCCAGGAAGTGGGTCTCGAGGGCGAATGGGGCTCAGGAGACGGCGGCTGCTGCCCTGGCTGAGAGGGGACTTGAAGCCCACAGGCTGGAGAGCCTGTACTCACATCGTATTTCTGACGCTTCAGCTTTTCCCCAAACTCAAACTTGTCAGTCTCGAGCTGGTACAGAGTGTCCCACAGCTCCTTGGCCTTGTCCCTGGGAAGGAAGACAGAGGTCACAACAGCTGACTCAGCTCTGGTCAGGCAGAAGCCTATGCCACCTTCTCCTCTGACTTCCACAGGGAGCTGGACCAGAGCCCCAAGGGCAGGTCCAGGGAATGTTTGAGAAGCCCTGTCAAGCCCAGCCCAGCCCTTACCAGCTGCTGCACCCCTCACCTCAGCTTGTCGTCACTGAGGTGGTCAATGTTGAGGGGCTTGCGCCTCTCAGCCAAGATCTTCTTTTTCATCTCTCGGGCAGTCTGCTTCTTGCCTCTCTTCTGGTCAGCCTGTGGGGCATGGAGGGTCTCAGTGCTGGTCCAGGAGTTGGGAGCAAGGCAGGGTCATCCCATGGCTCTGAGGAGTCACTCACCTTGGCCAGGTAGCTGCTGTAGTTGGCACCCATGGAGGACAGAGCCTTCTTCTTCTTCAGATCATCTTCGGCTCTCCTCTTGGCATCCTCCTCCTCTCTCCTGGCTTTCTCCTCCTGTGGACACCCCATCCCCAAGCTTCTCAGGTGTGTGGTCATGGCTATGCTCTTCTCTGGGGAGATTTTGGAGCTTCATCCTGGACTTAGAATTTTCTGGAAGCTTCAAAGACTAGTTGATGCCTACCATTTTGCAGGGTATTCTACAGAGAAAGGCCACCATGGGAGCCCCCCCCAGGGTCTCTGACCATGGATCACTTTGAACAGGAGACCAGGAGAAGAAAGAGTCCTGTACTCACTAGATGGACAGGTGGGTGGGTGAATGGATGGATGGATGGATGGAGAATGGATGGATGGATGGATGGATGGATGGGTATGGATGGATGGATGGATGGATGGATGGATGATGGATGGATGATGGATGGATGGATAGATGGGTATGGATGGATAGAAGATGGAGGATGGATGGATGGATGGATGGATGGATGGATGGACAGATGATGGATTAATGGATGGATGGGTGAACGGATGGATGGGAACATGGATAGCTATGTAGATGAATGGATGGAAGGATGGGTAAATACATAAATGGATGTCTGACTGGCTTAACGATTTGGTATATATGTATATATAGACACATGGGTGCATGAGATGGGAAGGGGACAACGGTCTCACCGCCAGTCTGTTCTGGCGCTCCCGCTCCTTCTCAGCACGGATTCTCTGCTGTTCAGCTCTCTCAGCACGGCGTTTCTCCTGTGGCCAGAGGCTCAGATCAGCCCAGCCTTCCCACCCTCTGAGAGCAGACACTCCCATCATCTCATGTCACCCCTGGTGTCTGGCCTGGGCCCACAGGCTCATGCAAACAGCCAGACCGAAGACTGGGGCCCCAAGTGCACACTCACAATTCTCTCCTTGAGTGCAATCAGCTCTTCCTCCTCCTTCTTCCGGGCTTCAAAGTGGCTGTCGATGAGAGCTTGAAGCTCCATAAGGTCTTTGTTCTGTCGTTTCTTCTGGATGTCCTGTGGGTGGGAAATGCCCATCAGTCTCCATGCCAGCTCACGTCCTACACTGACCTGCAGTAAGCTGCACCTGCCTTGGTTCCAGCCCAGAAGCCCTGACTCCTGACCACCAGACAGTGGACAACCGCCTGGGACCTTGAACCCTCCTCACGCTCCATGGCTACTGCTGTCCTGCTGATCCAGGGTTGCCTGGTCTTTGAGCCCCAGGGTGGGGACAGTGCTCACTCTGTGACTGGAGCCTTGCTAGGCTCTCTCTAGACTTGAAGCCAGCAGCACCTTGGGATGGATTGACTCTGGTGTGGCCTGACTTTCATCCCGAGAGATAACTGCATGGGAAGTGGAGAGGGATTTGATCAGTGAGATAATTTTCTAAACAGTCAATAAGCAAGTGGATAAAGGAGTAGTCAGATGGGTAGATAGGAGGTAAGTGGGTGGTAAGTAGGAGATACGATGGATGAAGAGATGAAGGAGTGAAGGGATGGCTGGGTGGTTGAGTAAATGAATGGATGAGTATGTGGCCAGCTGGGTGAGTGGGTGTATGAATGTGTGGAGTGGACTGATGGACAGATGGTGAGTAGATGGATGGGTGGATGTATTTGGCTGGATGGATTGATGGGTGACTGATAAATGGACCGATGTGTGAGTGGGTGGATCGAGGGGTGGGTTGGTGGGTGAGCAGTTGACAGATGAACGAATGATTATTTGAATGAGTGGGTAGATGGCTAGATGGGCGAATGGATGGGTTGGTGTGTGGGTGGAAGGCTCCGAATGATGTAGGCGGACACAATGACTGACAATGGGTTCAAGCACAGCCAAGGCTGAGGGCGGTGAGAGGCCGGTGGGGTCGTTTAGTTTGTTGGGTTGTGTGTTAATGTTGGTGGTGGTGAGTACCACTTAATTGCATAGTGATCCTATGTACGACAGCTCTGAACCCTGCTCTGTTTTGAGCCAATCTCTGACCCACCTGCCCTCATTACCCCATCACTGGACACAGGGTCCCTTTAAGTAGAAGCTGACTTGATGCCACCTACCACACACCACACATACGTAAAATCGAGCAGGTGGTGAATGGGGTAACGAGCGGTTCAATGGATGCACAGGTGAGCGAATGCATAACTGGGCAAGAGGACAGGTGGATGGTGAGTGGATGCTGGAGAACAGATGTGCCATGAGCATGGGGGCACTGAATGGATGAGTAAACGACGCTTAAAGAATGTGCAGTGGTAGATGCATGGAAGGGTGAGTAGAAGGGAAAATGAACGGGCGCGTGGACAGATGGCTGGTGATGGGTGGAGAGCTGTGGGAGTGATGGGCGGATGGCTAGGTGATGGGTGGAGAGCTTTGGGAATAATGGACGGATGGATGAAGGGAGACAGTCACGTCTGTTCTTGGACAGATTTCTTACAGTCCAAGAGTGAACCAGGGTGCAGGTGACTAGGCCGAGAGGTCCGAGGCCAGAGTGCTTGAGGAGGGGTGACCATCTGAGGTCTAGTCTGGAGTGAGGGGTTGGGGAGAATGTTCTGACCTGAATCCCACAAACTTACATCGAAGTCAACTTTCTCCCCTTCCGGGATCTTAGGAGCAGTCAGTCTGAAGGAGAGAGAGGCAGACAGACAGGGTCAGGGACAGAGGTGGCCTGAGTTTTCAGCAGCCCCAGCTCGGACTGGCCCTGGGGCCCTGTATTGGCCTGACTGCACGTGGCCTGGTGGCACGTTTGCCTGAACTTTGTTCTTAGCAAGTATGTGTGGTGGACTGCTTGAATCCTAGGAGCGGCTGGACTGCTTCCAGAATGTTCTGACTTCTAGGCATCTCTCCACTCTGTCCACTCAACATCTCAAGGGTGTCTTGACCCATGTTTTCAAGGAAGGGCTCCCTGGGCTCCTTGGCCACATAAATACACAGCGGTGGCCTGCTGGGAGCGAGGTGAGGCAGCTAACAGGTGAGAGGCAGGTCCCTGTGGTCAGTCTGTCTGCTACCCCCTGCTCTTCCTTTCCAGAGACTCCATGGAAGGAGAGAAAGGGGTTGGGGAGACAGTCAAAGGGTCCCCTCTGTCCTGCAGTGCTGCCCAGCTGGGTCAGAGAGTTACACCACCACCACCTTCAAACATAAAACCATCATCGAAGGCACCAGCATGGACCATTGCTCACACGGCCTGGGTGGGAGGCCCCGGGAGCCCAGAAGCCCCGGGGGGGGGGGGCCGGCAGACGCACACAGATGAAAACGTTCTGTATGTGGAAAAGGCAAACACTGAAAGGGGAAAAAAACCTAGAAAAAATATTTTCCGCAAATCTGGAAAAGACTTAATATCCTTATGCAAACGGATGATTAAGGAAAACACAGGGCCGTCGCCACGGCCCGCCCGTTACATAAATGGGCACAGGCTGCCAATTCGGGGACACAGGCGAGCAGTCATCAGGCACGCGGGGGAGGGGCTCTCTCTAGCAATCAAAGGCGTGCGGAGGCAAACACCCAGAAAGCTTCAAGGGCTCCACCTGAAAGCGGGGTGCTGTCCTTGGAGGCGTGCTGTGCGCACCCTCACACACCGCGTCCACGGCCTTGGCAGAGCCTTCGTGGAAAGCAGTTTGGCAAAGGATGTCAAAAACCTTAAGAACGCTCGTCCTCTTTGACCCAGCAATTCCAGTTCTGGGACTCTGGCCTAGGGAAATAATCTTAAAGGCAGAGAAGCGGGCCCCTGCGAGTTATTTATGATGGTGAGACACGGGGGCAAGCCTTGCTGTCTTACAATAGAGGAATGGTTAGGAAAATTATGGTTTGCCCGATGGATGGGATACTATGTGGCCATTCAAAATATTTAAGAAGACGATGTAAAAACACGGAAAAAGACTTATGAATAGTGCTAAATTTTAGAAAGGCAGGATTCAAGGTCGTATAGACAGGGCAATGTTTGAAAAACAGCACAGCATTTAAAGTTTTTTCCCCCTTTTTCCAAGCCCTATGCACGGAAAACTTGTGGGAAGAAATAAAGCTTTTGATTTCTTTCCACGCTTTCCCACAGGCTGGCTGGGAGAACTGAGGCTGGGAGAATTGAGGGGCACCTTTTTCTTTCTCTCCCTCACTCTTTTTTCCCCCTTCTTCATTAGACTTTTACGTATTTTCCAAATTTCCTTTAATGAGGTGTTTTGTTTTCATAGTGAAAATACAAACCGTGTGTTTGAACTAGAAAGTATCTCTGACCTGAGCAGATTTTGAATCACTGAAAAAGTGTTGCCCCACCCAAGGGGCGAGTAGTCATGTCTCAGGATGGCCCAGTGGCCGCTGAGCAGACGCAGGTGCCCTGGCACTGTCAACCACCCCAACCGTCCCAAGACAACGCCACCGGGGTGGCCAAAGGCTGAAGGGAATGGGTCCATGTGGGGCGAGGTTGGCAAGGAGGGAAGAAGAGCGGGCAGCACAGCAGGTCCATGGGCACCTCTGACTTGGCACAGGTGGGAGGTGGGCACCCAGGGAAAGGCCAGCCCTGGTGCGTGTGGACCAGCGGGACTTGAAGCACCACACTGACGCAAAGGAGCAGTCACTTCCCCCAGCTCCAGGGCCTCCAGGGCCTCCAGGGCCTCCAGGGCTCCAGGGCTCCAGGGCTCCAGGGCTCCAGGGCTCCAGGGCTCCAGGGCTCCAGGGCCTCCAGGGCTCCAGGGCTCCAGGGCTCCAGGGCCTCCAGGGCTCCAGGGCTCCAGGGCCTCCAGGGCCTCCAGGGCTCCAGGCCTCCAGGGCCTCCAGGGCCTCCAGGGCTCCAGGGCCTCCAGGGCCTCCAGGGCCTCCAGGCCTCCAGGGCTCCAGGCCTCCAGGGCTCCAGGGCCTCCAGGGCCTCCAGGGCCTCCAGGCCTCCAGGCCTCCAGGGCCTCCAGGGCTCCAGGGCCTCCAGGGCCTCCAGGGCCTCCAGGCCTCCAGGGCCTCCAGGCCTCCAGGGCCTCCAGGGCTCCAGGCCTCCAGGGCCTCCAGGGCCTCCAGGCCTCCAGGGCCTCCAGGCCTCCAGGGCCTCCAGGCCTCCAGGGCCTCCAGGCCTCCAGGGCTCCAGGGCCTCCAGGGCTCCAGGCCTCCAGGCCTCCAGGCCTCCAGGCCTCCAGGGCCTCCAGGGCTCCAGGGCCTCCAGAGCCTCCAGGGCCTCCAGGGCAGCCCACGCTGCCGCTGCCGGGGCTGCTCCTCTGGGAATACGAGGTCTCTGCCCACTGGAGCGTCCACCCCCGTCCACCCTGCACACTATTCTGGCTCCAGGCAGGGCCTCACCCGCATCCCAGCCCATGCCCACATCCATGTGCCCCCACTCACTTGGGTCTTGGCTTCTCTTCTGGTCAGTGTAGCAGCATCAAGAAGGGAGAGAGGGGGAGATGGTGAGAGGGGGAGGGAAAGGAGGAAGGGGGGGATCGGGAGAGGGGAAGGGGAGGGCGAGGGGGGAAGAGAGAGGGGGAGCAAGGGAAGGGGGAAGAGGGAGAGGGGAGGGAGAGAGGAGGTAGGGAAGAGGGGAGAGGAGGAAGGGAAGAGGGGAGAGGAGGAAAAGGGAGAGAGGGAAAGGAAGAGAGGAGGAGAAGTGAGAGGGGGAGGGGGAGGGGGAGGAGAGGAAGGGAGAGGAGGAGGGTGAGGCCAGTGCCTCTGGGGCTGAATCCCCCACCTCCCACCTTGCCCTCCAGAACCAATGGGATCTCGTCCCCACTCCAGGCCCTGACGGGGTCCAAGGGGAGCTCAGGGTATGGGAGCCAGGATGAGGAGGTGCAGACAGAAGACACAGAGACAATGAACACAGCGTGGGTGAAGGGTCCCTGAGGGAGGGCAGGAAGGGATAGGGAGGGTGAGGACAAAGGGCAGAGGGTGGAGGACCGAGGGTCTCTGCGAAAGGACTCAGAGAAGCTGAGAAGGGGGCAGAAGATCTAAGACAAGAGAGGAGCTGTCCCCTCAGGCCTGTCCTGTCCTGGTCTCCTGCTTAGCCCACGGGCCACCCTCTGTGCTGGGCAAAAGCTGGGCACTCCTCTGGCTAAGGGAAATCAAGGGCCAGACAGGTGGACAGGCAGGTGGAAGGACAGACAAGCAGGCAGGAAGTGACTGAGGGCCCTGTCTATCTCTCTTGGCTGGTGTCCTGGAAGGGCTGTAGTAGGCAAAGGCAGCAGAACTGCAAGGCTGGGCATAGCAGCAGGCGGACAGCGGCCCTTTCCTTCCTCGTCCTCCCCTGGCTCCTCCTTGGAAGCGTCTTGGGGCACAAGCAGAAATGCCAAGACAAAGGCCATGCAGGGCACGCACCCTGCGGCCTGGCCCCTGTTCCCTGAGCTGGGGGTCGAAGGATGGGGTCCTGGGAGAGACACCCATGGTGGGGGCCTGGGCACTGTCCATCCCTGTAGACCTGATCCTCTTGGGACAGCCACATCTCCCCTGGAGCTCTGAGCGGGAGTGCGGCACAGGTGAAAGCGGCTTTGGACAGTTGATGGGGAAGCTCAGTGACTTAGCAGACCTGGTTCTGAGTCCAGACCTTCCAATAGGATTTCGGGTCATTTTCTGCTCAATAATGAGCCAAGAAAATCCACTTGGCCTGGCCTGCTGTCCACGACGGCTGCCTGGCCTGCAGTCCAGCTTGCTCACCTCGGTGACCAGCTGCGTCTCTGACCCTAAGATCTGAGTAGACTCTCCCTGCAGGCCCCTCCCCTGGCCTGTCCCTGTTTATAAGACTGAGCCCCAGACCCCGGGCTTGGTGAGACTGTCCTGGCTGCTCTCACAGAGTGGCCGTGTTGGGGGGCGGAGGGGGGGTGTCCTGATCAGGACCCTGCACTCATGGCTGACTCGCTCACCGCATGGCATCTGTCTGAGCCCCTCCTTGGCTGGGAAGAACTCGCTGAGCCCCACAGACTGTGAAGGGCTGCATTCTTGAGGGGCTATACCTCGTCCAAACCAGTACTTGCCCCTGCCTCAGCTCAGAGACTGCGCGGTGCCCTAGAAACTCTCAGACACCTCGCTGGTCAGCACTTGGCCAGCCTGCTGTCACTCCCTCAACACCTAGAGTGAACTTAGGGGATGTGGGGCCCTGGATACAGAACCCAGGAAGCAACCTCAGCTGTCTGTGTGGGTAGAGATGTGGCCTGACATGTTTGCTCTGCTCTTGTCCCTGGGACTCACTGGGCAGTGCCCGGCCAAGGCCCTGGGGTCAACATAAGCCCAGGCTGGGGTGGAGGAGAGGGCAGTGGGGGCCTGTGGCCAGAACAGCACAGCACTCCCAACCAGGGCCATAGTAACTGGCTGTGAGCAGAGAGGGGGCTCTCACTCATCTGTTGACCTCAATACTGTTTCCAGAGTGACCTTGAGCCGCTTACTGTCCTTCCACCTACGTGGCCTGCGTGTCTTGCACTGACCCTGCTCCAAGCAGGCGGCCTTATCTGAGGCTGACGAGTGAAGAACCTAGTCTGAGCAGAGCAGGGAAACCTGGAAGTGACTCAGGCCCAGCCCTGAACCCCAGGATCTACTGAGGGCGTGTCCAACTATGCTCAGGGATTCTACCTGATTGAGTGCTGGTATGCATGCTGTCCCCAACCTGACCTTAGCCTCAGCCTCAGTCCTCATTCCTCAGCCCTCATCCCTCAGCCTCAGTCCTCATTCCTCAGCCCTCAGCCCTCAGTCCTCAGCCCTCGTCCCTCAACCCTCAGCCCTCATCCCTCAGTTCTCAGCCCTCGTCCCTCAGTCCTCAGTCCTCAGCCCTCGTCCCTCAACCCTCAGCCCTCATCCCTCAGTTCTCAGCCCTCATCCCTCAGTCCTTAGTCCTCAGCCCTTGTCCCTCAGTCCTCAGTCCTCAGCCCTCAGCCCTTAGTCCTCAGCCCTCGTCCCTCAGTCCTTAGTCCTCAGCCCTCGTCCCTCAGCCCTCGTCCCTCAGCCCTCAGCCCTCAGCCCTCAGCCCTCAGCCCTCAGTCCTCAGCCCTCAGCCCTCAGCCAGCTTCCTGCTTCGCCCCACTTGTCCCTCTGCCCTCCCTGCATCCTCTCTCAGGCTTACTAGCCTGTGTAGGTGGAGGCTGCCTGCCCTGTTGATCCTCTTCTGCTCTTCCCCCTGCCATGTGGACCCCAGCACCATCCTCCCAGGGACTGCACCCTTCTCAAGGGTGCTGCTCTCTAAGGCTGGTCACTGCACACCTTCTTGCTGGTGGCCTGGGAAGTGGCCCCTGCCCTTAGTCCTCCCTTCTAGGACAGGGTCAAGCTTGGCCCTACTCCCTCCCTTGCCCACTGGCCAGGATGACCACTGTGGTTCATGACAGTGGAGCAGTGGCGAGAGGGAGGGAGGGGAGAAGAGAGGAGAGAGGGAGAGGTGCTTGGGGAGCCACCCTCCCAGCACCCCACGCTCCCAGCACCCCACCCTCACAGCACCCCAGTGCATACCTTCCTGAACTTCCTCTGCAGAAACAGCATCAATAGGGAGCATGTGAGGAGAGAGGGGGAGAGAGAGAGGCTATGAACATGTTCTGGGGAGCCTGGGTCAGGGAGAGGGAGGATTTGGAGAGTGAGGGGCCTAAGCAGGCCAGAGCATGGACAGGGCACACACGGGCCCTCTCATTCCCCTTGTCTGTACACACCACACATGACCACACATGTGCACACACAGAGATGAAGTCATGTCACATACCTGCTTCATGAACTTCATCGGGGGAGGAGGGCCATAGAACAAGAGGCAAAATCATGGGTCACAGGCCAAAGGAGAAGGAATCCCAGGTTAGTGACCAGCCCATGGCCTCGGAGGGTCAGCGGCGAGGCAGGGGCGGGCGCATGCAGACAGCGAGCAAGATGTGGTGATGAGTGGTCAGTGCCAGCTCTGGTGTCCCTTACACAAGTCAAGCCCCCCCTCCCCCGTATCCCCCTCCCAGTCCCGGAAGCCTAAGCTCAGATTGAACTGGTGCTTCTGCAGTGGTGACTCCTGTCACTGCCATGTGCAGGGGGTGGGCCCCCCGGGTGGGCCCCCCCTTGGCTCCTGCTCTCCTGAGAGGGACTTCCACGCAGAGGCTGTGACAGCAACACTAGACTCCCAAGGGGCATGGCTCCTTGCATGGAGTCCAGGCCTGTAGCCAGCGATGCAGCTGGACAGTGGCCGTGGAAGCATGTCTCAGTCACCCTCCACCTCCTGCCTCTCCCCTCTTCCCTGCAAAATCTCTGACATGGGCAGGGAACCTGGGCCTCCCCTCCCCATGTCCATCCGCCATGAACCAACAGCCTTCCGGCCCCAGGCCTCCAGGAGGGGACTCTGGGCTGGCTGGGAATGGTTGTACTAGGTGACAAGGCCCTTTGCTGAGGGCTAACACAGAGCACAGCCCTTGGGAGTGCCAAGCTGGCCAGGGCACAGGCAGAGATCTCGCCCTGTCCCCCTCCCACCTGTCTCTTCCGTTTGCACCACTCGGGTCTCCCAGGTGGTCCTCAGTTACCCACTCGGGCTAGAGGGTTACTCTCAAGGACCAAAGGGTCAAGTCACATCTAGACCTCAGACATGTCCCCTCAGCCCCATCCCTCTCAGAGATGCCCTCATTTCAGTCCAACCCCTTCTAACTTGGGGGAGACCCCAAGAGCACCCATTGGCTGGTCTGTGGAGTCTGACTGCCCTGTCCCAGCCTGGGGTTCCTGTTCTCCCCGGTCGTGGTTAGTGGGTTACTTGGGGGCCACATGTGAGGCCCCTTGGCTGGCTGGGCACACTGACCCCCATCCTACCCCACTTAGGCTCCAGCCAGGCCCCGGGCCCCACATGGGGTCAGAAGTCCTATGTTGCATACCTTCTTCTTGGACTTCTGCAGGAAAGGGGTACCAGGTACATGGTGGAAGGAGGAGAGAGGAGAGGGTTAGACAAGGAGGTACGCACAGCAGGTCCTTAGAGGTGAGGAAATGGGGGGGCAGGATGAGCAGGGGACACACAGGCATGTTGGGGGCCCTTGGGATAATGAATGGTCAGAGTATTCAAGAAAGGTATGGGTAGGGGCTGAGATCCTGGATCCCACTTACCTTCCTCCTGGGCCTCTTCTAGTGAATCAGGTGCAGGAGACGGCAGAGGGAGAGAGAGAGCAAGGATATTCTTAGAGGTGTATGAACAGGGCCAGTGGGGAGGGCACTGGCTTCCCAGGGAGAAGAGGCAGGTACGAGTAGGGTGAGCTTGCATTTCTGGGCCTAGGACATGGGGCATAGGCCCTCCTACTGCTGGCCAAAGCCAAGGGTGAGCAGGCAGGATGTGACACTGGTCTCTGTGGATGTCATTCTTGGTGATTGGGGGCCGTCCTCAGGGACTCCAAGACAATGCTGTACATGGTTACCACCTTTCACAGCCCTGTTCCCGTGTCTGGAGTTCAGAGAGGCTATGAGGGTATTTGAGCAAGAGGGGTGTCTCCTCTCTGGCCCAGGCTCTACACAGCATCTCAGTGTGAAGACAAGGGGACAATGTCCCTGTGCTGCTGAAATGACCCTCCGAGTTCACCTGCATCAGTCAGAGTTCTCAGGCTCTGCAGTGCAGGGTGTGCTTTGCTCTAAGATGTGTTTTAGCAACAATGTATCCACACAGTTCAGCAGTTGTAACAAGTGTGCCACATAATAGGAAGATGCTAATAGCAGAGCGAGAAGCTACATCCCAACTATTCTCTCTGCTCTGTCATTTTTCCATACATTTTCCCCCCTGTAAAACTACTCTAAAAAAAAAAAAAATAAAGTCTATGAATTTAAAAAGAAGAAAAAAAAGAAAATCACCCTCAGGAGAATTTCCACTAGGAATTTCCCCAAATGGCCTGAGGTGGTGTGGACACTGAATGTCTTCACACAGGAGGCCTCACACTGTCCAGGGTCCTGGTCCACACCCCCGGGGCCTCTGGCTGTTTCTGTCTCCATGCTTTCTCACTGAAAGAATCCACTACCTGACTAACAGCATGACTCCGGCCCAGAAAGGACCCTCTGCCTTTCAGCAGAAGGGGTGGGGGTGCAGGGAAGTTTTGTTCACATTGTTAGGGGAGCCCAATGTTTTCAAAATGTTTTCACAACCTAGCACTGGGCTTCTTGCAGGAGGCCCTGCCCCTCACAGGGGCAGAAAGTTCCCGGGATGCAAGGTGCTGGGTGCCAGGTGCCGGCGCTCATGATTGCAGTTTGAGAACCATCCGGCTGCACAGCTCCCAGCCCCAGCCTGCCTGGGCATGCCACCAGCTGCTGGAGCCCAGTGGGGCACTCGAGGAAGAGTCCCAGCTCACGGCTGGAAGTGCTGAGGGTGAAGCTCAGAGGGTGACAGACACCCACAGAGACAGAGGTGCTGAGGGAGGGGAATCTTGAGGACTGGAGATGCAGAGAGGGACAGCTAGTGAAGAGAGAGACAGAGACACAGAGAGAGGATCCAGGGATACAGAGAAGCCTGAGTCAGAGAGACACAGACAGAGACAGGCAGAAAGAGAGAGTGAGAGAAAGACCACTGGAGTTCTAGAGAATCCTTTCTTAGAAGGAGGCTGAAGACACAGACAAGGAGAGACTGAGAGAGAAGTGTGGAGACGGCCAGAGAGGTCAGGGCCATGCATGCTATTAATCTGAGGAAGACTGGTAGTGACCAAACAGCAAGTCACCCCAAACACCACAATACGATGGGAGTCCAGTGTTAATGACCACAGGCGGTGAGCATGGGAGTCAATGATCATGGGTGACGAAGACGAAGTGTTAGTGACCGTGGATACAACGATGGGGCGTTAGTGACCATGTTGGCGTGGCTGTTGTTTTTAGACGCTGTGCTCTCAGCTACAACTCATAGTGACCAGGTGACAGCCCTGAACCTTGTCCTGTGTCAAGCCATCCTCATGATGTTAATGAAAGTGGATGGTGAGAATGTGGCGTTGATGACCAAGGACCGAGGAGGAGATATCAATGCCCCTGGACAGTGAGGATGAGGCTGCACTGTCAGTACATGCGGAGGATGCAGGTCTTAATGGGAGTGGACCGTGACGCTGAGGTAGCAGTGATCAGATGATGAGGGTGAAGAGGCAGCAACCTGGGCAGAGAGAGTGCGAGCTTGGGGGCCACACAGCGAGGGCAAGAGCCCACGATGCAGCACAACAGGAGGAAGATGTTGACGGTCGTGATGAGAGCTGTCGGTGTGCTGTCGGGTCAGAACCCAACTCGGGGCTGACCCGTTAGCGGGGTTCCAGAGATAGGACGGGTTCAGATCTACTGTCTGTAGGGTCACTATGAGTCCCACTCCACTCAAAGGCAAATGATAACAATAATAGTAACACCACATGACAGGAGACTGCCCATCTTTCTTCCCTGGAGAAGCTGGTGGGTTTGAACCACATATCTCTGGGTTGGCAGCGCAGCTCCTTGCTGAACCACGGCACTCCCTCAAGGAGGAGGATAGGATGCGTTATTAATGACCATGGGCAAAGAGGTTACAAAGTACTGATCACTGTAGATGACGAAGATGAGATCTTTGTGATCGCTGGGATGAAATATGAATGAACTCGGACAGTAAGTGGGAAGTATTGATGGTGTGGATGGTGAGAATGACGGTGAGGCATTTGAGACATAAATAAGAGGATAAAACTTTAAGGAGCACAGATAATGGAGGATGAGGAATTAATGACCTTTGAAGGTGGAGAATTAATGACCGCGGGTGATGGAGATGAGGTATTCATGGCATGGAAAAGGAAGCTAAGGAATTCATGGCTATGGGCAAAGCAGGAGGTGTTGATGGGCTTGAATAATGAAGGCAAGGTCTTAATGATCATGGACAATGACGATGAGGGACTAATGGCCACAGACAATAAGGATGGATGAGGCATTAATGATCACAGACTGTGAAGATGATCATGTTAATGACCATGAACAAGAGGTAAAGCGT